AGCCAATTTAAAATGGCAGAATAGACTTCTAAAACACAGGTAACACACAGCACAAAAAGCTCAATGTAGATCACATATTTTTCATTACCTATGCCTTCAAGACTGCATGAGACTGAGAGGCATGCAGGAAACAAAGAAAATACTGTTGTAATTGCATATGGAATATTAAATAGTGAGATTTCAGCATCTACAGACATTCAGTGAAACTTAGATATACAATGTAACATATTTCAGTTGCAACTTAACCAGTAAACATTCTATTAAGTGAGCAAATACAGTATAAACATTTGTTGGTATCTCCTGCCCTTTTTCTGAACTATCGCAGCACAGGTGGTGACAAGGATACAGAGAACTTTACTGTGTGCCATTTCCCCCATTCTAATATAACTAGAAAACAATTCTGTAACTTTTTTTCTCTTGAGAGACAGGTTGATAATATAAAAACTAAAATACAATAAACTGTAAGTAAAGATGAACATTTATGTTAATATATATGTTAACGCTACTTGAAAAATATTTAAATTGCAGATTGAGTTCCTAGTTAAGCCTAGTTTTAATAGTTTATCAAAATAGAGCAAAATACTGCTAAATATATATATATATATATTGAATTGGGTTATGTGCTGGCAGCACTATTTGATTTTTGAAATTTAACATAAAGGTGAACTATTAAACTATTGACTGATTAATAAAGAATAGATAATGTCAATTCTGAAGGGAAAGAAAGCTGTAGTTTAACAAAAGCAAATAAACAGCATGCTGGTCATGTTATGGGTCATTTAGTCCTGTCTTTCTGTACAAGCTCTTCTGGCAGATTCCATTGTTATTTTCTACCCCAGTATGTTTTCCTAATATCACTTGTAAAGCTGTTTTTTTACAAATACCATTCCTAGCAATTCACAAGGACCATGTGCAGAAAAGAGGGGGATGCATCTCTGCCTTAAAGCTGTTTGATTATATTTATATAATTGTCATTATATTGTCATTTACAGTTTAAAAGAACTGTAAATGACAATAAAAATAAAGCTGTGAGACACTAAGTGTAGCCAATTCATCACAAAAAGGCAGGCTTCAGAGAATCATTCTTTCTCAGGACAACATAACCTGGTAAAGATATCTAAATTTGAAATAACAGAAAATATTTGTAGCTCAGGTTTTAGATTTTGGCAGTGGTTTTCCTCTCTCCAAGCTTCCGGAAGTCCGTTCTGAGCCAGGGAGGCCTCCCAGACCCAGAATGGCCCAATGAAAGTGCGTGAACGCTACTTCTGGAAGTCCGTTCTGAGCCAGGGAGGCCTCCCAGACCCAGAATGGCCCAATGAAAGTGCGTGAACGCTACTTCTGGAAGTCTGTTCTGAGCCAGGGAGGCCTCCCAGGCCCAGAACGGTCCTCCGGAAGTGCATGGTAACGAAGTGCTCAGAAACTAAACTGAAATAAGCTTGGAGAGCAAACTACTGCCAAAAGTTATCTAAGCTGCCAGTATTTTTTTTATTAAGACTCATATGCCCATTAATTTGTAGATATTTTAAAATACTCTGGCATCTCCTAGCATTATGGTGGAAATTTAAGTCCTAGAGCTGTTATACAAGAAAATGGTGATGCTTTATGATAAATCTAGCAAATATTTCCATAACCAGCAGCAAAGGCATGGCAAGATTACTTCTTGAAACTATGAGAGGTCTAGCACTTGCCCTGGAGCATAACTTATCAAAGTTATGCTAAAATCTAAAAACATGTCACTAAAAACATGTCAAAATCATCATATGTGGATCAGTAAATTACTTTCAAAACAAAAGCTTTGGGGCCCAACAGGAAACACAAGTGATTATTAGTGGTCAAGGCCAAGTACAAACTAATCAGTGCTTCAAAGTTTTAGAAATGCTAACAATGTTTTTCTAATGGGAATCTGGAGCATGAGAAGAATGTATTGGGATGTGGTTTGAATGCACTATATTACTGAAATCGGAGACCATTAACGAGAATATTATAGTGCAACAAAGACTATGAGAAAAGAACTAAAAGTAAAATTCAGATAAACACTAAATATTAATAGTGATTCAGCTGTCTCCTAAGCTGCTAAAAAAATCATACTACCCAAAGCATAGTATTAAAAAAGAAAACTTATACACTATACTAAATTATTTTGTATTTTATAAAGAAGAGTAATCTCTCAAAGCTGCAAATCATTTTTTAACGAAAAAGTAAAGAATCTGGGATCAGATGCTGAAATAGGTATCAGATTACATGGCTAAACTTTAAGCAAACCCACACTATTGTAAACACAATACTTTCATGACAAAATGCAAAATCCCTTTATATTGCAGGTACAAATTCATTTTAAACCTCTGCAACTCAATGTCCCTACAAGTTTACTCAAAGAAGTTAGGAACGTTTCAAATGAGTATTGCTTTTAGTGTATTTATCTTTTATTCCAACTTATGTCTGGATATGTTCTTTTAATGCCACGAATCCAAATATAGTGTTGCAGCATAATAAAAAAAGTATTTTCTTTGTTTAGATTCATTGATAGTGATATTGGAGAAATGTATCTATGGATTCATGTTTTTAAAAGGACTGTTTAATATTTGATAATAATGTAAAATATATGCTGAATTTCCCACACTGCCATTTGCCTGGGAAGCTATGAGTAATAGGTATGTTTAAGTAGGTGTTCTGCAAATTTCTGAAATATTGGTTTATCTAAAATTATGAATAAAAGAAATCCAATAGAGAATAACTTCCCAAAGCACTGCCAGAGTTCTGAATCAAATTCAGCCTTATTCTGCCCTAGAAGGGATCTTTAATCTTGCTACTACAATGCCTTACATGTATACATTAGAAAATGAATCAATTGCAGAAACGGATCTGGATCAAATGTTGTGGTAGGCCCCCCTCATACACCAGAAAACCTTGCATTTCCATCAGTTTTGTGATTCATTGAATATAAAAGAGCACTGATGTGAAGTATAACTTATTATCTATTAGTGGTGAGATAAACCATTCTTATTCTCAAAATGCAATGATTTGCCTGTTAATGTTTCAACATGACTAAAATATAACCCAGTCAGTAAGTGAAAAGCATTTAGTTTTCAAATATCCCTGAAAACATGCATTTGTGAAAACATGCAGAATCCACTAAGAGTGTTTACAAAGTCATCATTACTATTGTATGACTGATCTCAGTATTCACAGCAAAAGAAATGGGGGAAAGTAGAAAACAAACAAAATATTACACAGAATGAACTATGGTCTGATCTCACTACTTTCCTGAAGGTGCCAAGGCTCTGCCCCCATGGCTGAATTAAGCAGAATTTATTTTGTAGTCACCACAACTAGGAATATATTTAGTGAAGGTTTAATTAAGAAAAACCAAGAGATTCCCAGAAAATATGTGCAATACCATTTTCTTTCAACCGCAAGCTTTGCTCAATCTGTACTATAATATGGAATACAAAATATGAACAGACATATGCATGCTCTGGAAAGCAAGATAATACACATGGGGCAAATACAAAAAGTACTCTATGAGCACTAAGGATGTTTGAAAAGGGTATAAAATATCATGTGAGTGACAAAAAGAACTATAACACATTTTGACAGCTTCTATCTGGCATATAAAGAACTTAAATTCTTGTACGCATATGAAAAGTTCTACAGCACTATAGGACTTACGTGATTTGATATTGGCGTCTCGGTAGGTACCATTCAGAATTGCAAGTTCCATTAACTGCATCTTTTTAAGGCTATCTTCTCCCTCTGCCTGCACAAATGAAATACATTATTAGCAAAGCAGTTTATAATCTCATAGCACAATTGCAAAGAATTTGATACAAGTTCTAAGTGATATATGAAATAGAAACACATTTACATAAAGGAAACTGATGCTGATGCTGCTCTAGTCACATAATGACTTTTTATATGCTTTGTAAATTCAAAAGCCTACACCTTCCAATGCACCTATTAGATTTCAAGAATGGGTAAAAGCCACTGTAATTATACTATACTATGACAGTGCTATACAAAATAAATAGAGACTGCTTTCTTCTGGACAGTGATTCCAATGTATAAAACAATGCATGAAATCCTTTCTTTCAAAGGTAAAACAAATTTGGAAGAGGATAGGAAACTTTTTTTTATTGAATTAGAGTTGTACAAAATATACTATGGAAGTAGTTTAAAGGGCTGAATTTGTCTTCCATTCAATTAGAAATGGAAGACTAATCCATTTAAGTCTTAAGACCAAACTGAAAACTCTCAAATGAATGGCTAACAAAAACTTCAAATTGTAACACAAGTACCAATGCTTCCATGAGAGAAGTCTACAAGCATAATATTCAAAGCTACGATCCATGCATATTTGCTACTTATAAGCCAAGTTTGGTTACGAAAACTTTAAGGGGATATAATTTCTACAAAATTAAACTGTATGTAGCATTTCTATATCAACAGGCCAAAGTACAAACAGTAAACGAATTTTTTCTTTGTATTTATAAATATTGTTAGTTTGCATTCTAAAATATAATTGATTAGAGTTACTAATAAGCAGTAAACAAAAACTTAAGAATATATTCTTTTTAAAAATATTTTTATTGAAAATAATAAGAAGTAATACAAGAAGTAATAATAATAAGTAATACAAACTAAGTAATACAAGAAGTAATAATAAGAAGTAATACAAACTAAAATAGAGGAGGGAAAATGAAAGAAAAGAAAAAACATAAAGTGCAATAAGAAAAAAGAGAACATGAGTGGTCCTTGGTGCTCTCTGAGCTTGCTTGTTTCTTGCATATGTTTCATTACTCAAACTAGGTAACATCATCAGTGCTAGTAAGAAGTGCCGTTCACTGTCAGTTTATATTCTAGTGCAGGGGTGTCAAACTCGCCACGTTACATGATGTGTCACGATGTATCGTGACTTTTTCCCCCTTGCTGGAGCTGGGGTGGGTGCAGCCTCCACGTGACGCATCCGGCCCACGGGCCGGCAGTTTGACACCCCTGTTCTAATGACTTGCCTATCAGTATTGGTGGGATGGTCTTAGAGATTCTTTGGATGGGCTCTTTGATTGCTGTTGGCTTCTTTGGTAGTTTATTGATTGGGATATTGTTTACTTAATTGTTGGTCTGATGTTAACCTTGGAGTTAATCTATGTTGATCTGGGTGTTGATTGCTGGTGGAGATGAACTTGGGTGGTTTTTTTTCCTTTTTGGGCTGAGTGATAGTCTCGTTTGCTTAGTCTTTAGATGTTGTTAATGTCTATGTATCTATTGATAGCTCATTTGTCAGAGTGCCAGGCTTTTAGAAATTCCCTAGTGTTTTTGGACTTGGCTTGGTCTAGGATGGCCACATTTTCCCAATTCAAACTATGGTTAAATTTGGCTATATGTTGTGAAATTAAATGGTTTTCATCATGTCTTCTGACTGCTGGTTGGTGTTCGTGGATGCATTCTGCCAGTCCTCTGCCTGTTTGTCCTACATAGTGGTTGTTATAGTCCTTACACTGTATGTTGTAGCTGACTCCTGTTTTTCCTCTGGGGTTGTTGAGTCTTTGGTCTGCTTAAGATGTTTTGAAGGGCTTTAGTTGGCTTGTGTGCTATGTTGATAACCAAGGACCCCTCATGTCAGCCCTGACTTACAAATGTTCTCCTTTATTAGAAGAACATTTTTTAAAAATTGAAAAAGAACTAAAAATGATACAAAGATGGGGCTTTTTTTATTCTTCACAGCAATTATAAGTACAGTTAATTTTAACTTTGCTCTCTAAAGTTAAATCATGACCCTCCAGTCTAATCATCAAAATGATACATCACAAGTTGATTTTTATATATATATATATATATATATATATATATATATATATATATATATATATATATATATATGCGCAAAAATCCGTAAGAGATTTCCAATCACCAATAAATGTACACATTATCTTTAGAACATTTAACTATGTACTCTTAATTGCAATATATCACCAATTCACAATTTTTAAAATTTATTTTATTTATATCTTGCCTTTATTATTTCTTTTATAAAAAACACAAGTCAGTGAACATATCTAATATTCATTCCTCATATTTTCACAATAGCAACAACAACAACAATCCTGTGAGATGACTTGGGCTGACTGGCCCAAAGTCAGCTAGTTGGCTTTCATTGCTAAGGCAGGACTAGAACTCATGATCTCCTGATTTCTAGTCTGGTGCCTTAAACACTATATGATACTGCTTAAATCAAATTCTGTAAAAATATAACAGAAAAGAAGCATGTCATTTTAGTTAATTAGCTATAATTAGATTGGCAATTACAGAAAACTGGTACAATGACTTTAGCAGTTTTAGAGATATATTCTTCTAAAACAAACACAATACTGTGTGTATCAGTGAACTGAGAAGGAGCCGATTTCAATAAATAAGGAACAATGCTTATGCATGCTTTTCTTTTAGTTTAAAATAAAATAACTTATGCCAAGCGTTTCATCTTTGAAATCACAATCGATCATAAACACATATCATCTGAAAAATGATCAGAAAAATATATTATTGAAATGATTAATCATTTTTTTAAAAAAATTGGTGATTACTAGAAATGTGCTTTGTGGGGCTATAGATAGTTGCATTTACTAGGCATGTTTAATCCCTGTTGTAGTTTCTGATACCAATATTGATCTCCCCTTGCCCCCACCAATTCTTCTCATATAAGAGAAATCTTAAAATGGCCTTTCATTAATGGCAAAAGCAGCAAGCAGTAAATGAGATGAAGGGAAAGATATTGAAACTAGTGGCACAATGGAATTAATATGATCTTCAAAAAGAGAACTGAGAAGTTTAAAGAACAAAAGACTAAGTATGAATTGGTGTATGGACATAACCAAACCATCAAAAGGATGGTTTTCAAGGACAGAATAGCAGAGAAAGTTGTAACGAATAGGTTTAATATAAACTGGATTTAGTCAGAATTTCTTTCCTTTTCTTTTATCTCCTGTCTTTAATTCCTTTTGTTACTCTTTTTTAAAATAATGCATAATGAAGAAGATACTATAATGTATATGTATGTATATAGAGCCAGTTTGGTCCAGTGGTTAAGACGCCAGGCTAGAAAGCAGGAGATTGTAATTTCAAGTCCTGCCTTAGCCATGAAAACCAGCTCGGTGATTTGGGGCCAGGCACTCTCTATCATCCCAACCTACTTCACAGGACTGTTGCTGTGGGGAAAACAGAGGAAGGAGTGTTGTGTGTGTCCACCACCTTGAGTTTTAGAAACAATCATCAAAGGTTCAGTGTACATCTTTGATAAAGTTATCTCTTCCTTTTCTTCAGGCCACTCTTTGGGAATAAAGAAAAAGTATTCGGAAAAGGAAGAAATCAAAGATAAAGTGCCTGTTCCCATTTATATTTAATGCTGATTCTATCCATTTGTTTCATACTGCCCATCTCAAGGCCCCCAAGAGACTATCCTTGAGGAACAAAGTCCTTGGCAGAAAAGTTTTCCCATTCCTGATTTTGATAAGGAAACTATTTAAATACATTGATTGCAAAATATAAAACATCCTTTACAAATTATTATTTCTAAGCTTCTTAAAGGATTTCTTCTAAAAATAGTAGATGTGCATGCTCCATCCTTCCTAGACACCTTATTTTAAACTTGAAATGTATTAAGCTATATACAAAGTTAATTCTTACTCAAATATTGTAATTACACAGAGATGGCCCAGAATGCTTAAGACTGACCACTCAAACTTTAGCAAGCTTGCTCCATTTTTCAAAGTTTCTATTGTTGTTATGGGAAGAGTACATGATTTTAAAATCTAAAATGTCTTCTATTCTAATGAATGAAGTGTTACTAAAAGAAAATATAGATAAGTTTTATCTGATCATTTATTCCAAGCATAGGAAATTTGGTATCTGAAAGAATAGAGTTTCATGAGGCAAATAATATGTAAATATAAATAAATCCCTTCTCATCCCTATGAGTGGTATGTATCTTCCTCAATATTGGGTCCTCTATCAGAGGTCTGGGAAATTGAAGGTTCTTAGCTGTTCCTAGCACTGCATTATTCTTGGGTAGAGATGTTCTTGGATGATGTTGTTCCTGGGGTCCGTTGGAGCCACTCTCCCACGTTATGAATCACAGACTAAGTATTCCTACTACCACTGGGACCACTGTACTTTCCTCATCTTCTCTAGTGCCTCCTTCAGGCCCTGGTACTTCACCAACTTCTCATACTTCTTCTTCCTGATGTTGCTTCATTTGGCACTGCTGCATCTATCACCCATGCTATCTTCTGGTCTTTGTCTACTATCAATGTTGTCTGGCCAGTACCTGCCTATCCATCTGGCTCAGAGTTGTCCTTAAAACCATGGCATTCTTAATCTGGGATCTTGCTATAATGTGTTGTGCATGATATGTGAGGCAAAGTTTCTAGATTTTTAAAAATGCTAATCATTATCATAAAAAACTGAACAGCTACTACTAAACCTAAATTCATTAACTGCTTTATACCATGCTTTTGTATATAGCTGCTTCATTATTCAAATTAATGGAATTTGGCAATACTCTAACTGCACTAGCTACAATGGGGTGTGGGGGGGCTTCAATTTGACATGAATATTATACTAAAAGTTTACACATCCCTGCTCTACAAAGTTGCAAAGATACTCCTCTTCATTCACAGATCTCTTACTCACTATGGTGACAGATCATTAAAACACAGTCCTCATTAGCCATTTTTGATATGACTCTTCCTGCCATATGAGCCCTCA